CAGAACAAATGCAAATTACTACTTACAACACATTTTTGATTGTCATCTTAGTGTAAAATGCTGCTTCTCTCTTGCTACTCTTTGTAAGACTTCATTTAGACCTTAGAAATGAGGATGCATCTTATAAATTAAGAGTATTCATTCCCCGTAAAGCTTGCATTCACTGTCTAGATTGTTGGAAGATGTTAGATTTCAGCATGGCCCTTATGTTGAGCAAATTCAGTTTCCTACAGAAGACAGATGTTTGGAATTCTTGAACTGTGTCTCGCCTAATAATATACTGAAGAATCAAGCTGGACATGAAGGCACTGTCTGCATGATATCTTCCTATCTCCACTTCTTTCCAATAAAATTAAATTGAGAAAATAAGAAGCGGAAAGCAAACCCCATTTATCATCTAAAGTAGCTTTGGTTCTGTTCATGAATCACATCTTAAAGTATTTCTTTTTACAGAAATTTGGCATACTTAATAGAAATGAAGACCCAGAACAGCAATTGGATTACTCAGGAATAGGCCCTTCCAGCCTGAGAATTGAGCTGATAAAACTCCTTCAGGCCTTAGTTTATATTAGCACAAGAGTACTTCTAGTTTTACCAGGCTAATGACAAAATTAGATACAGCCAACTAGTTCATGTATGCAGTTCTGCCGAATCTGACATGCTTTACCAGAACACAACAGTTACAAGGAATTCCTACCAATCTCACACAGAGAAGTTTAGCAGAGATACAGAACTATAATCATGAAAACTAGGAAGAAATAGTGTGTTTAAGGCATCCTGGACAGACTGTATTAGTCTCCTATAGTATTCAGGTTAAACTGTGTGCATCTGGTTGTCTTTTTTGTGTTATAAAAAAATACTTCTCAGAACACTTGCGTGTGTCAGTCTTCACCAGCAAGTGCTCAAGCCACACCACCCAAGTTGCAGAAGGCTAAGGCAGGGACTGGAAGTATGAAAAACTGCCAACTGTAGAAGATCAGGTTTGAGACCACAAGGAACGTGAAGGTGCACAATTCCATGGGACCTTATGAGATGCATCCACGGGTCCTGAGGGAACAGTCAGATGAAGGTGTTAAGCCACTATCCATCATATTTGAGGAGCTGTGGCAGTCCTGTGAAGCTCCCATTGACTGAAAAAGGGAAACATAACCAGTTTTTTAAAGAGAAAAAAAAAAAAGAGAAGACCCAGGGAACTACAGGCCAATCAGTCTCACCTCTGTGCTCAGAAAGGTCATGGAGCAGATCCTCCTGGAAACTATGCTGAGGCACATGGAAAACAAGGAGGTGATTGGTGACAGCCAACATGGCTTTAATAAGACAAAATTGTGCCTGACAAAACTTGGTGGCCTTCTATGATAGGGTTACAGCATTACTGGATAAGGAAGGAGCAACTGATATCATGTGCCTGGATTTGTGCAAAACATCTGACAGTGTTCTGCATAGCATCCTTATCTCTTAATTGAAGAGACATGGAATTGATTGATGGACCACTTGGTGAATAGAGAATTGGCTGGATGGTCACACTCAAAGAGTGGTGGTCAATGGCTCAATGTCCAAATGGAGATTAGTGACAAATGGTCTCAGGGGTCAGTATTGGGACTGGTACTGTTTAACATCTTTGTCAGTGAGGTGGACAGTGGGATTAAGTGCACCCTCAGCAAATTTGATGATGACACCAAGCTGTATGGTGTGATTGATGCTCTGAAGGGAAGGGATGTGCCATCCAGGACTCTGACACGCTGGAGAGGTGAGCCCATGCAAACCTCATGAAGCTCAAGGCCAAGTGCAAGGTCCTGCACATGGGTCGGGGCAATCCCAAGCACAAACACAGTCTGGGTGATGAGTGGATTGAGAGCAGCCCTGCAGAGAAGGACTTGGGGATGTTAGTGGATGGAAAGCAGATTGTGAGGCAGCAATGTGCACTCAAAGCCCAGAAAGCCAACTGTATCCTGGGCTGCATCCAGAGAAATGTGGCCAGCAGGTTGAGGGAGGTGATTGTTCCCGTCTACTCTGCTCTCATGAGACCCCACCTGGAGTGCTGTGTTCAGCTCTGGGGTCCCCAACATAAGAAAGACATGGAGGGCCATGAAGGTGCTCAGAGGGCTGGAGCACCGCCCCTATAAAGACAAGCTGGGAGAGTTGTCGTTCAGCCTGGGAAAAGAGGGCTCCAGGGACACCTTGTAGCAGCCTTCCAGTACTTAAGGGGCACCTACAGGAAAGATGGTGAGGGACTCTTTTATCAGAGAGTATAGCAATAGGATGAGGGGTAACAGTTTTAAACTAAAAGGAAGTAGATTTAGATTAATGAAGACATTCTTCACTGTGAGGGTGGTGAGACACTGGAACAGGTTGCCCAGAGAAGCTGTGGCTGCCCTCTCCCTGGCAGTGTTCAAGGCCACGTTGGATGGGCCTTTAAGCAACCTGGTCTTGTGGAAGGTGTCCCTGTTCTTTCGAGCACCCATCCTTCAGAAGCCTCTGATATCTTTAAACATGAAGGTTTGTTTTCATAGTGCTTACAATGGGATTTCTTTCAGCATAACATGTTCTCTCTCACAACAATAACAGTTTTAGTGTGATGTGTATTTCTCTTAAGGTGTTTAGTCAAGAAAAACAATTTTTTAATAGTCATCTTTTAAGTCCAAAATTAATACAAACCCATACATTTTCCTTTAAATTGTAAACTTGTTAAAGAATTAGTCTAAGCATATTTTCACATTCATTTGGGCTAAGAGTAGCCAGTTATCAGCCAGCACTTCACATCTGTGCAACATAGTTACATACCACAATCCAATTCTGTATGGTTCTTGTGATCTAGTATACACAATTACACCTTTTAAAACTTCTGGTTTGTTTTGGGGGTTTTTTTTTAATATGCACATAAAACTTTTGCTGGTGTTGCTGAATAACTAGTTGATCATTAACGAGTCATTTGGCAGCTTTAAGTTTGTCCATAAATCCATGAAACTAAGCTACAAAAAAAATGAGACACCCAGCAAGTGAATACTCCAAGCATTTATAACTGTAGACCAAGTTTCAATGTAAAATGTCAGGAATACAGTTGCTATTTTGTCTAAACAGGTGGGGGTTCTTTTTTAATTTTTTTTTTTTATTTTATTTTTCTCTGTTGAAGAAAATACTCATTTTAGCTTTCAAGGTACAGCACATTTGCTATAAAGTTGGATGCCAAACCGAGTAGTTCCATGGTGTTGGTCACTACCATGGAAATGTGTCTAGAAAGGCACAAGAAATTTCTTGGGTACTTTTTTCTTTTCTCTAAGCACAGCACTGGTGACAGTTTTTCTAAATTTAGATGTGTACCTGGATCTAGAACTTTTGTCTTTTCAAATCAGAGCTCCCTCCACATTCTCCCTGGCATCCCTGCACAAAGATGAACCCATGTCCTCTTGCTGAAGAATATTCTGCAAAGCAGTACTCTCTGGAGACAAATAATATAACTGTAAAAATGTTTTAATTTATTCTAAAAATTGGCACATCAGTGAAAGATTCCATTGAAAAGATTCTATTCTTATGAAATGTAACATGTCTAAAACATCAAAGTTCTCAGTTCTGAAGCATATGCTGCTTAGAACTGCTCCACATCATGGGCAAAAAAGATACAACCAGCAGGAAGCAGCAGAATTCAGCAAACACTAATAAATAGTTCCAGTGCTTCCAACAGTACAGAATCACAGAATCATTTAGGTTGGAAAAGAATTCTAAAATCATTGAGTCCAACTATACTGACACTGTAACACTGCCATGTCCACCACTAAACCACGTCCCTAAGCACCACATCTAATTGTCTTTTAAATATCTCCAGGGATGGTGACTGAGCCACTTCTCTGGGCAGCCTGTTCCAATGCTTGGTAACTCTTTTGGTGAAAAAAATTTTCCTAATATCCAATCTAAATTTCCCCTAGAGTAACTTAAGGCCATTTCCTCTTGTCTTATCACTTGTTATCTGAGAGAAAAGACCAACATCCACCTTGCTACAACCTCCTTTCATGTAGTTGTAGGGAGCGATATGGTCTTCCCTGAGCCTCCTTTTCACCAGACTAAACAACCCGTTTCCTCAGCTGCTCTTCATAAGACTCATTCTCTAGACCCTTCACCAGCTTCCTCAGTCCTGCTGGCCACAATATTTCTGATACAAGCCAAGATACCATTGGCCTTCTGGGCCACCAGGGCACACTGCTGGCTCCTGTTCAGGCAGCTGTCAATCAGCACCCCCAGGTTCCTCTCTGACTGGCAGCTCTCCAGCCACTCCTCCCCAAGCCTGCAGCGCTGCTGGGGGTTGTTGTGGCCCAAGGGCAGCCCCCGGCATTTGGCCTTATTGAAACTCCCCCAGTTGGCCTCAGCCCATGGCTCCAGCCTGTCCAGGTCTCTCTGTAGAGCCTCCCTACCCTCGAGCAGATCAACACTCCCACCCAACTGGGTGTCATCTGCAAACTCACTGCAGGTACACTCGATCCCCTTGTCTAGATCATCAATAAAGATGTTAAACAGGAGTGGCCCCAACACCACCTGTGACTGGCCACCAACCAGTTTTAACTCCATTCATCACAACTCTTTGAGCCTGGCCCAAAAGTGTCAAAGTAAGCCAACAACAAAAAATATTGAAATAGTTCTATTTGATAACTGTAAAGATTTTTTTAAAGTGACAGATAATTCACTCCTATTTTAAAAAAATAGAAAAACATTTACTTAAGTAAATAAAGAAAATCTAGATTAAGGCAATGTGAATTATAATGGTAATTCAGTTATTTTTCTAGTTAAAGGCATTAATTCAGTATATTTTCATGGTTTTACAGTGCACTGTGATTAAGCCTTACTCAGACAGGGACCTTATTTGGGACACACTACTGTGAACATTTGGCAGTGCAAATCCATGCTATCCAAATGAAACTTAAGAATTGGAGGTGGGGGGGAGGAAGAGAGATGAAACAAAGTGATATATCAGAAAAAATAACAAATCTGATTGTCAAGTTTTAAAACTGTTCAGCATGTAAGCATTTAAAGTTATCAGAAATACAAAAATTAGTAAACTTGTAACTGCTATAAAAATTTGTAGTTTTTAACTTACAAATCCAACATCTGAATAGAAGCTTACAAAACACATTCTGAAAGCAGAAACAACACAGTAGTATACATCGCTGTTCTCTCTTCACATGCATTTCTTTAAACAAATTTCTCAGCCAGTCTAATCTGAAATACATCTTCAGAGGTTATGACCATCAAGTATTTTAAGCTGTTTATTCTGTTTTCTTTGCCTGTCTTTTCTTAACACCATCCTGGTGCTGTTCAGAAGACCGTTCACAGACTGAAGAGCCATTAGAAGATGCAGCACCTTCACCCTTCACTTTGGATGGTGTCTTTTGCAAACCAAAAAACATATGGCCTAATGTAGCCTCAAACGGACCAAATGGAGAAGTTGCAGATCTTGTCAACATCATTGTTACCTATGAAGAACAAAGATCAAGTTACAATAAAGGTTTTAACAACTTCACAGCAATTGAAAACTAGTTCAAAGCTGCATGTATGGCATTTCTAATTTTCGACACAAGCATGAGGCCGTCCCACCCAGAACAGGAATATGTTCATTTTAGCTTCAATTGATCAAAGAATGCTTTACTTTCTGATCTACACTCTTCACACATGCTATACACAAATGATGTGCACAAATAACTTTCTGTTTAAGTTTACTAAAATCATCCTAAGAGTAAACAACATTTCATGTCATACAACTAAGGTGAAGAGCAACTTTTATGTGTAAGTTTTGTAACCTTGTTCAAACTGAGAAACTGTAAACAGAGTGTCTACTTCAATTTAAATTGAAAGAATGCAATGTGTAAGCACCTAAGTATGTATGCACAGCCAGACTTCAGTTAGAATTACAGGCATATTCATTCCATAAAGCTGAGAGATTTAGGTAGAAATTCATTAGAATACATAACTTGAAATCAGGACAGAAAAAAATGTTTTGTAGTTCCAGATACTGGACAAGTTTATATTGCAACAGTTTCTACACTTATCAGAGACATGAAAAATTTCTAAAACACTACACTAATACGGGACTATGCCACATCCACAACTGTTGCTTTATGAGTTAAGGAGATCCTCAAGTTCCTGATTGTCAATATGATCATCAGTTTAAGAACTTACTCACTTCAGTGCAGCCTGACAACCAGCTTCTGAACACAGCTGTAATTTCCCACTTCCACAATAACATTTTCCTTTCCTTCTCTATTCCCAGCATTCTCAGTTGAACAATGTCTTTATTGGTTTAAGCACAGAATCATGAGCATCAGCTTGAATGTAGTCTTGGCTCCCTAAACCAGATTCTCTAGAACTAAACTTGTCAGCTTCTTCACAGAAGGAGAATGGGAACTTTTAGACAGACTCTAGTCTGTTCAACCGCAGCTCTGAAGCTCTTAAAAATCACCAGACTTTTGCTACCACAGAGACTACACTTTCTTATTAGCTAATAATCCTGAAGACAGGCATCATCCTGGAAATTAGCAAAACTGGAGGGATTAAAGGATTCAATAGAGAAGTAGTATGTATTTTATAATAAAAGCAGTTACGGCTACTTCAAAGTGGGTTTGATACACTTTCTCTTCCCACCTAAATACTTAGGCTGTGAACACTTTAAGCGAGATGAGAACCAAATTGGCTTGTTTTGTAAACCCACGGATGACTGCACAGGTACAAAGAAGGCATTAAGAAGATAGCAAAAGGCAGAGAATAGGAGAGCTTCTTTCTGCAAGCTTTGTCTGAGATTATGACATACAAGCCTGGCATATCAACTGCTGGGTGCCAAAGTTCCTGATTCCCCCTCCCCCCGCCATTGAACAGTACCAGTAATGGAGTAGGTCTTCTATTCTACAGGTTTAAGACTTCAGTAGGAGCTGGACTTCCCATCCAGAAGCATGCACTCTAACTTGTGATAAGATGTTTGAGGGCATATTTTCTTCTCAGAAATAATGAGATTAAATACTTCTGTTATTCAGTTATTTACAACACTTCCACATTCTTACCTTAGAGACAACAAGAAAGACGGTGTATAAAAACACAAGGTTGTGTCTTGCTATTGGGAAGTACTGGCTGTGTTGCAGGGTGAAGAGAACTGCTCCTACCAAAGTTACCTTCACAGGGCTGGAAATCAAACAAGACAAATATTAATTTCTCTACAGTAAAAGCTGCCATCGCCTGGAAAGCAGTAAATGTTCCTAGCATGCAAAAGAATTATTTTTGAACAGAACTAATGAAAACTTGTGGTACTAGTGACAAGGTCCAAAACCTAGCTATAATTAAACTAAGACTTTCACTTTATATACTACATTTTCTGTCTATGATATAGACAAGCATCAAGTTCAGCACTACTTTACACACCCAGGAAACTTGTGTTTGACAAATCCTCCTCAAATCAATGCCCCTGTTCAGACTCTATACATCAGCTTGCTCCTCTTCTTCCTCTTCCAGTGTATCTTATTGAAGAGTTAAATCACAAAGTTTGCACTACCTGGACTAGACTTAAAATTAGGTTCCTCTCCTGTAATCCAGGTGTTACTCATTCTAAGGAGTTGTTTAAGGTGTTGAAGAACAACATAGTCCAAGTCTCTGTTCACTGTGACACTCCAGCAGTTCCAGGGTTGTAGTCACCATATACTTGACTTGAGCCAAGGCTGTGTTACCAGGTTTTCCCAACATAGCTATGTTGACTTGAGACATGCAAAGATTTACACCCTCTAGCCATCTTCATTGTGGTCGTAAATCCCTTACTGGATACGCAGTCAGAAAATAGAAGAACTTTTGTCAATTATCTAAAGTTGTCTGAAGAGAGAGCACTAATATCGTGGCAGAAAAATCCTGTGCATTTCTTGATCTGCATCTACATGTGACATGTACAGGTGACATTCCCATTATCACAGAGCATCTAATGTAGACACATTCTTCACTGTCTTTTCAGTAACTCAGAAATTTATTGTATCAACTTCCTGCTCAGGAAGTCCAAAAAACAACTATGTGTATAAATGCATCTCATCCGTTTGCAGAATGTTTTATCCATTTAACTTTGTAACCTACTTCTATTTAATATTCTTAAGCTTTATATATTAAACAGAACTTCAAAAATCCTTTTTGAGTTACTTGAGCCACATCCACAATGGAGAAGGAGAATATATGCAAGCACTGCCATAGTCAGTAAGCACTGCTCTAGTGTTGCACCTCTAAGTAGAGTGTTATTTAGGTTTACAGTGCTATTACTCACAGTGGCTTCTTCCTTATGGAATTCTGCTTTCAAGACTGTCACTTAGGCACTGACAGAGGGATAGAAATTCTAAATACCTGGAATTTCAGAAAAAGCCAACAATTTACATAAGCTATAAAATATTTAAATACTGCCAAAGGAAAGGCTACAAATCTCTCTGTTATTCTGTTGCTAAGAGTGGCTGCAGAAAAGCAAAAAAACTTTTTTTTTAAAAAAAAGTATGTAGATTCTAAGGACCTGAGAGTTACATGGGAAACACAAATGAATTTTAGGAAATTACCACAGTGAGCTTATCTTGACTTACAATAATAGCTTGTGGATTTCTAGCCTGTCTCAATAAACTAGGAGACATGTAATATTCCCATTCTTTGCTTCTTCAAGAGAAGTAATATTTCCTATCTTGCGGTACATTTTTGCTTTATTGAATAACCAATTTGCACTTTCTCAAATAATTCATATCCCTGGAGGAAAACAGTACTGTCAGAGAAAGTTAGAGTGACAATGCTCAAAGGAAGCCAACTTAGTGATGGTTAGAACATGCAGACTTCATGTGTATACTTCTGGTACCACTGTCCTTTCATTTTGGATAGAAAACCATGTCCCTGTAGAACAAATTGAGTCAAAACTGCTTTCCACCAACTTCCTACTGACTCAATATTGCTTTCTGTCATATAATTTTTGTTGACTCAGCTTTCCATTTGGTGTTCTTGTGCTGTGAACCTAGAATGATTAAAACATCTGTTAAAATTACTGAAGATCGTCAACCGGTCTTTCACAAGATAGACACCAAAATCTGAACCACTAATAGTACCTGTAGGCACAAGGAGTTAGCAAAATAACAGTTAACACCTTGCAGTCTTTTTTAAAAACTTACAAGGACATCTTCAGTAGTTCGTTGGTTTCAGGTTTCCACACTCCTCTCACCAGCTGCTCAAAGTTGGAAATTAGGCCACCACCAGCTCCTGAAATTACAGAGATTTATTACTGTAAGCCTCCACTGACTACTACAACTACTGCACAACCTGTTATTGCTCCCAGCAAACCTCGTTACACCAGGTGCCAAATGTGGCACCCGAAGCTCAGACTTAAATAGACTAATCCAATCTTTTATATGTGTATGACTTAAGCTAACTGACATGAAACCTCAGAGGTTTAGCTACTGAGTAAGAACCTCAGGTTTACCTTTATGTGATAGCATCTGAACCGATGCACTCATCACTACAAACAAATTCCTGAATTCCCAAAGTGAATCTCCAGAGAGGCTTATATTGTTCCATTCCTCACATCATCATGTAAGTACAGAGAATGCCTCTACAACTATGAGGACCCTCTTCAAGAAAAGGAGGTATGTATTTTCACATTAAAAGAACATGAAGATATGAGGAGGTGTTAAGACACTCTGGCCAACAAGATTTATCTGTATTATAATCTGGGAAAATAATATGTTAGATCATCACATTAACATATGTTATTTTCCAAAGCACAAGAGAATCAAGCAAACAGAAACAAGAGCTGCACTACTTCTTGAAGTGGTTCTAACATTGTAACTACAAAAACAGCTCTAGGAAGGTAGCTTCCAGAGCTGTAAGCCAAACAGCAGGCAGGCCAGAAGGTTCATTCCTGTGTTTAAAATCAGATAATAGTTAAAACACAAAAAGCTAAGAAAACAAGTTCTCCTCTTCAGCCACATCCAAGAAAAAGCTCTGAAGAAATATGATTTTGGAAAGTTTAGTAACAGCACCAAAGCTACATGGAAGATTTATTTCTTTATTGCAATCAACTACACACCCTACCAGTCCTCACAAGACCATCTGAAGGGATGAGATGAACTTCCCTCAGAGTCATTCAATGTCATCCTTAATCCAGGCAGAAAAACTGCTGCACAGCCATTTCTCTTGAGGAGACAACAGACTGTATTAGGACTACTATATCCAGCACAGCAAGGAACGGTGCTACAATTACACTGAAGGGCTAGACATTTAAATACCACTCCAAAACATCACAATCCATCAGAACAAGATGTTATGCATGTTACCTCTGGCCCAGCCTACAGCTACCATGACAAGCCAGGCATCTTTGAAGTGACTGTCTGCATGTTCAATGCCAGCTGTTATCTTCCAAGTCCTAGTCACTTCTTTCATTCCTGCAACCAGAAGCCGAAGAGGCAGAAAGGCAAAGCACCGATAGAATATGTCTTGTGGACAGTAAAACACAAGATACCTGAAAATAATGAGAAAACCCATTAGCAGGATTCAAAAGTTTTTGCTAAGGAATTCACTTTCTAATAGCTTTCAAAGATACTTCTGTAATATGACTAGCAAAGCATGATATACTACTCATAACTCACTGTCTTGTGTGCTAGACACACTGGAACAAATCTGAAATACTTTTGAGCATGCTTAAGTTCTTGTACCAAAATCATCAAACATTATTTGAAATTGTTCTTACTGCCTTCATTGTCCTAGAGAAGAATCCATTAAAATACATGAGAAACAGCTTTAAATTTTACTGTTCTGTAGCTTATATATCATGTTTTTACAATTTAAATTATTAAATTAGTGTCTGACTGACTGTGTGTGGCTTGGGTTTTTGTGGGTTTTTTGTTTCATTGGGGTTTTTGACAGGGTGGTAAATTACATGCTGACACCATGCTTTCATACTGATAGGTACATGGAATTACATACTGCTTTCATACTGATAGGTACATGGAATTACATAACTTCAGCAAGAATGCCTCCACTAGTTGGTGTCATGCCAGATGAAATGCAGAGCTATTTTCAAAGAGATTTCTCATCTTAGTAACCACCAATTCTAGCTTTTCCAGCTTACCAATTGCAAGCACACGTTTTCTAAAAGCGTTGAAAGCACAGTACTCAAAATCTTTTATCAATTGCTGTAAAAACAAAGTTAAAGATGGCTAACAATGAAACCCTAAAGTGACTAAATTTTGAAAGATTAGATTATGTGGTGTTTTATTGTAATTCTTCAATCATAAACAAGATTCAGTTCTTACAGAGACATTCAAGGGCTCAAAAATTTAATCAAGATTAAGTATCTAGATTACTTCAGCACAGTAATAAGAGAGTAACAATTAAGTAATATCAGACAAAGCCTTTAAGTGATGGGAAGGGTGCTTTTTCATTTTCTAAGGAAAAAAAAAAAAAAGATACTTGCCTGTTGGTTTAGGCTTCTGAGCTCAATCCTTTCTACCAATAATTTCTAAGGCTATATCTTTCTCCTGTTTCCTCTGGCTGCAATGCAGAAATGCACCTCTTGTACCTAGTTTACTTTGTAAGAACTACTAGCAGACACAATAACTAAAGAGTCATGCTTCATGGTTAGAGATTAGAAATCAGGACAGCACTCAGGGTTTGGAGTTTACAGCAGAATGCCAGGAAGCTTCATCCCCAGAAAGGTAAAGCTAAGCTGAAGACTTGTCCTAGTTAAGTATTTTCTTTTTTTGCAATGGTTATAGATCTCACCACGGCAAACTTCTAAAGCTTCTCTTCAAGATCTCCCACAATGGAACATGCAAGAGCCTATTTCTCACAAATAAGAAAATTAGCAGAATTTACATTGCTAACTACAGCTCTGGTGTTCAAGTTTAGCTTTACTTTTGATCTACTTATTTTTCTCCTATTGTAAAGCAAATTGCCGTTGTATGCAAGCAAGCTTCAGTTGATATGAAAACAAAATTTATAGAAAACGTGTATTTTAACAGCTACTGCAAATAGGCATTTAAGACACGCACTCAACAGACAACGCTAACCAGAATTAATTTACAATCGCAGACTGTTGTTTTAGCATCCTGAAGCACAGGTAACTGGACAGAACCTACCGTTGCAGTCCCACCACGGCATTTTGTCCATAATTTCTGCTGGCAACATGTGCTAACAGCAGATGTCGCTGTCCTACAGACTATCTAAGAGCATTTCTCAAGCATAGCACTTTTGTTTCCACACATTTGTTTTCCAGTTTTATGTATGGCTTCGTTTCAAATGATCTGAGACCGACAATTAAAGCCATCATACTCATAAAGAGAGAACTTTGTAAAACTAGAAGCTTAAAAGGTTTCATAACTTTCATAGCTCTTCGTTAAAACCTCATTTGCTGTGCACAGCAAATTACATTTGACCATGTTAAGTTCAACAGAAATCACTTTCTCTTTACGTGTACTCCTAACTCATGTCATTTACTAAAACAAGCAGACACATCTCCCACGTCAGACTAATATGAACTATAAGCAGATTCTATAAGCTTTGTTAACACTTCACTACTTATTACACATTAAAAATTTCACCAATTTGCCTAAATAAAATCTATCATCTCCTATTGCAACATGACGACCAAAAGATTAATATATATATATACATAGATAGAAACACTTACTTTCATTTTAATGAATTTGCTATTAGAAAGCCTAAGGGGCTACAAGGAACAGATACTAAAGATGTCAAGCAGGTAACACTCTCATAGGAATTGAGATTTTAAAGTTCAAAAACCCACTGCTGCTCACAAAGTTTGTGAAGTTTGAGTTTCTTCAAAGATCACTTTCTGGAACAAATGAACTCCACTGGAAGTCCACCTTTATATGAAAATAATTTCAGTGCTTTTTCTGAATTCCAAAACCGGCCAAATTGCTGCCTTGTTCACACACCTGATTTCCCATTCAGCTCTCAAGTGTTTTCCACTATAATGCCCATCCATTTGGGAAAGGGAAAAAAAAAAAAGAAAAAAAATTATGTCAGGAAGCAGAAACTAACGGAGAGTAAAGATGATTTGTGTCTTAGATCCCAAATTACAGAAAAGCTCAAAATTTCTACATAGCCAGGTTCTGGTCTTCAAGAGCTACTGATGAAAAACTAGGCTGTGTTTACATCTTACCTATATCCAGAAAAGTTGTAACTGAAGTCCACTTCACTACAAAAGAATGTTTTCATCTGTCTGACCAGGAATACTATAAAAATCTAAGGTAAGTCTAGTTTAGTGAGTGAGCATTTTGTTATACAACAGCCTGTAAGAGTTGCTGCCTTAGGAGCATTTTACTCCTATAGAACAGGACTGTAACAACTATTTTGCTGCAGTGACTTTCTAGATGAAGAGACAGCATCCAAATCCGTAACATTTTTAAGTTAAGCTTCTGATTTACATGGAAGCTTGAGGGTATAATACTAGTTTACAAAGTATAGCTTTCTCAGAACCAATACTACTCAACTCAATTGTAGCTGCTTACCAGACTGAAGATGCCAGTAGTATATTTGCGCTCTTCGCCAGTAATGCTACTGGAGGTTCTGCAAGCATCAATGAAGACAAAACTGAACCACCAAAGCAATAAAGCATAGCACTAAACCAGCAGGCAACTGGACTTCGGAGTGACACTTCCACAGCTCCTGAAACACAGGGAAAAGATGCATAAGTTAAAATAAACATTTGAGAATCACATCATGTTTAAAACTCAGTATTTTTCAAATCATGCAGTCCAACATCATTCCTTTACGTAATGAAAAATCCTGCAGAAATCTGTAGGTTTTTACCAGAAAAGTCTTCAGAAATACAAACCAGAGTACACTGACTTAAGCATATGCTCTCTAAATAAAAGTGAAAGACTGACACTGTATTCTCTGAACATCTTCTGTGGGTTGGTTTATCATAACTATTTGGCTGCCAAGAAGAAAAAGCTTCCAGAACATGGCTGAGAGGTCTCATTGTTAATAATCTGGCATTGATAAATAGTTGTTTTCAAATTTGTATTAAAAATACACAAGTTGCTTTGCTGACCTAGACAGGATTAGCACTGGTAACTTTTAGGAGGTTAGTCTACAAATTCCATTTCTGCTTTTGAGTGTTTGTGAATTCAAGGTCACTGTTTATATTTTTCCTTATAACGCCCTGCTCACTGTGTTTGCTGACCAAAATGACACCAGTATCCAAAACAATTATTAAATAGTTTCACCTGCAATCCTGAACAGAGAAAAAAAGGTTACCTGAAGCCATAATAATAATAATAATAATAATAATAATAATAGACTCGCAGTTTGGTTTATTATGTTATCTTTAAAGCGAATTATCAATTTTAAATTGCAGTTGAACTATGCCTAAAGAGAGTTCAATATTGAAAGATTATGTAGAGGTAATTGGAAGTCTTAACCAATTTCAGGGGGCAAAGCCAGAAATATCCTCAAGTAGTTGCTTTGACTATTTCCTTCCCTTTCAAAAGTCCAATGTTGCCAAAGCTTCCCCTTTACACAGGTGCAGAGCTCTGTTTGCCTGAAAAAGTTTCATAGTCCAAAGGCTGAATTCACAAAAGCAGAGATGAAACCGAGTGTCTGCCCCAAAATGAAATGTGATGTATGTTCCCAATTCAGAGGTGAAGCTTTTGGTTTGTCAGGCATTTCTGTGGGAAAAGCAGCTTCTTACTCAAAATGAGAAGCTTAAACCTATCAAAGAGAAAACAGTACTCTCAATACAACTCACTTCATACAAAAGTATTAACAAGATTGTTCCAGTTTTAGTGTTGGCACAGCTATCACATATTGCAGAACTATGTAAACTCCGATGTAACTGCCAATTTATAAAATGAGCACTCCTAAGCATTACAGAGTATCTGAATAGAAAGTAATACCTCTTTTTTAAAAAAACTATTGCTTAATTTATTTTCCATGCTGCAGTACCTGGTGCTCTAAGTTGGTTACGCTCAGCTTTGTTATTGCATATTACCATTTCTCCACAATAGCTATCTATTATGTTTGTGTGCATAAAATTAACAGGAGAAAATTGTAAAGCCTGTTAATGTTACTTAACAGCAAAAGTAAGAATATAAAGTGGGCTGTTACGTCCAGATCCCATATAACTGAATGTGGACCTATCTTCACCAGCATATTTGAAAAGGGCAAGACATCTGCAGAATATTAATATGGTTTTTGCTTACTACATTGAGGTTTCCTCAATTAAAAAAAAAAAAATCTAAAAATGCTGACAGCCATTACACTCAGAAAAAAAAAAAAAAAAAAAAAGGCGGCAAAAAATACATTAAGTAGACACTCACTGGTCCAAAATAACTACAGTAGCTTCCTTCTCACATCTAATTATTCTCTTGTTTGATGACACAGCTGCATTACAAGTACTACTATATACCTAGCTTAGCATGAAAGGACTGAATTCCCTTTCTTACAACATGAGAATATCCTACTCCCACATTCAGCAGTACTCTCTCTGTTGAGTAACTCCACTAAATGCTGCTCTGGTACTATAGCACAAAGTGACCATACAGAGAAGAAATATCCCAAACTTTACAAGACAATAGAAAACCCAGCTAACAGGCAGCCAGTGTAAATCACAAGGAAACGTGCTGGAACTGCTGCGTACTGCTAATACATCAGCACCTGTTTTATGCCCAAGCTTTAACTCCTGGACAGACGTAATATAGGATGTAATCTGCACAGTTTTCTGGTTTTGGAGTGAGACCAATAACCACAACAGGAGGTTCCACATCCAAGAATTGTCAACCTCCAGATCAGGTTTAAAAAAAAAAATCTTACACTTCAGACATCCAATGTCAGGTGGGTGTGAAACAACCTCTCTTTCATTAGCATGAAGCTTCTCACCTTGCATTAGAAGTAATCAGCTTAACATCTTACTGGCAGCCTTCACTTACTGAACTATCTCCTCCCTCCCCACAAAATGCAACATGACTGAGAGCTACCTGAGAGCTGCTTCACTTTAGCAGCCGTTGAGCCAGTTTACGAACATAATGAAAGTAAAGCATTCCAGGTGCTGTGTTTTTGAATCTAACACACCGTATTCTATTTTTCATGCACATGGACATTGACTTCAATTAATGAAACATAATGTAACAACTAGTTTTAATGAAAAAAAATGAAGATTCTCATGTATAAGGTTTGAAAAGGTTTAAATTTTCTATTGTACATTTGTATATCATTTCTCTCCTACATATTCTGTGAAAATATGTTCACTATATTTCACTTCCTATATCAAAGGCCAGCTTAAAAAATAAACTTAAAAAAAATAATTCAATGAAATGTTGAGTTATTATAAAATTAGTTTGTTCTCTGTTCTCTTTTCAAATCCACTCACCTGCCTTTCAGCAATTATCACTTCTCCACTCTTACTTTCTCCCACAGCTAGCAGTAAGTGGTTTCCAGTTTTGAGGACATATATAGAAATTACTATTATTATTATCAAGTTGCCCTCTATGACCAAGCTCCAAAACAAAGCATGTAAATTTCTTCATTAAGCTACTATGTGTAAAAGGACAAGAGCCTGGAAAGTCTACTGGACTTCAAGATTTTGTTGGTCAATGTTAGAATTTTCTTGGCTGAAACATTTTACAATAGTATTCAACAATTCACAGCTGCTTCCTAACAAGGAATATATCCATCATAGAAGACAACGAGGAAAAAAATGCTGATACTAATTTAAACTTCATCTTACTGTTGCTAGGTAAATTATGACTTGGATATAACCTTTCAGAAAACAAATTCAATTTTAAGTGAGTCACATGTCTTTAAACAAGCAGTCACTTATATTTGTCCTCTGATGCAGCCTGTAAAACTAATGAGGCATCATACAACCATGCAAATTATGATCTGCCAAAAGGCCACTAGTGCAAATAGTATGTTTTAGAAAGTAAAGTTTCAAAATGCAAGGACTATTGTTGAATACAGTTTTAAATGTTGTTTCTAGACCACAGTAATTAAAAAAAAAATTGCAGCAAAGTATTTCTATCAGTAGGATAAGTCTGATTTAATCTTTCCAACATGTTCCAAATAGACAATCAGTAATACATACCACATGAACATCTAAAGAGCAAACCAGAAGGACTTGTCTAAGTTTTTATAGCACCCATATTCAACTATATCTAATAATATCAAATAAGCTAAAGGATTTAGAGTCAGATTTAATTTAGCAAAATTATGTCTAAAAAAATTAATTTTCTTCAAATGACCAGAATCATGTCACAGAAAACTTGCAAGAACAAACCCAGTATATTTCTCCCCAGTTTGACACATCCTCAACCCTCAACACCTTTTTCTGTCCCTTCATCCCTAAAAAAGAAATTTGCCAGTTACACAACTGACTTAAGTTACAAATGAGCAACTCCTAAGCAATCCTCAACACACTAACCAATAACTCTTAGTTTAACACAGGCGGAAAGCAACAAGTTGGTTGTCACTGCTGTAGTGCACCAGCACTTACAAAGGAGCCAGAAAATCTAGCTAGAAGGACTGGAAAAGTCCCAGTTAGTGTGTACTCATCCATGATACAAATACCCACACTGAATCTGATTTTAAGCAGTGGGGTTTTGGTATTTTAAGGAAACAGTAAGCCAGGATAAACCAAACATGGCTCTGGCTTGACCACATACTTCTTATACCACCAGCCACTTAAAGTTACTCAGTCACACTGTGAAAAATAGCTACTGTTCTAAGTTTCCAAAAAAGAATCCCTAGAGAATATTAATCAATGATAGCATATCCATCCTATTTCATGACTGCTTTTTCAGTTATGCTTTAAGATTCAGTTCAAACTACTTGCAAGTGAGGAACAGACCAGCATGCAGTCATCTGAATTACACTTACTAATTCAAAATATTAGACGCAAAAGTTCTGAACTTTACAATTTTTAAGCCGAAAAGAAAAAAAAAAAAATATCAGCATGGATCTGTCAAGACTTCTGACAGCACACTTCTAGAGAACTCTTGTCTTTTAAGTGTATCCATTCCATATCAAGGTAGTGCATGATAATGTCAAATACCTTTAGAGCGAAAGTCCCTTTTTGAATGGAACAGTTATATTACACAATGCCACAAGTCAGCACCCAGAAACAATTTTAGCAGTAGTAACAAAATTTGGTGAAGACGGTAGCACACATAATCATTTTATATCAGTGTTCACAGTCTGCTAAGTGCACTTACTCAGCAAGAACTAAAAATTCCCCTTGACAACATCTATGAAAGGACCAAAGAACAATCTCTCATGAAACAAACAGCGCAGAACCTTAAAAGTCTGAAGCAAGTAGAAGCTCCCAAGTCTGCAAGATAATCCTGAAAGTCAGTTTAGTTTCCTACACAGTTATGAGCCAGGATGCACAGTTACTGTAACAGTCCAAAGCCACACCACATGTAGTTATTCTAAACATTAAAACAAGGCTAGTCTCTACATTTGTGACAACTGAAAGCTAGGCTTGGGGTTAACAACCATAATGCAAAAGATTTTCTGGAAAAGAGCACGCAGAGATTGAAGTGTCATTATGTGCACTCATACAAAATCCAGAATCCTGTTACTGGCAGTGAAAAACTTTCCTGATTTAATTTTATGATCTGTGGAAACAACATGAAATGTCACTTAGCCCACAGCATTCCCATT